CCAATGTCTGTTTTTTTTAAAGAGCGCTGTTTGTCAACAGAATTGTATTTGTGCTGCTTTTTCAGCTATGTTTTCATTTTATTCTTTATGCTGAATTAGTATTAAGCTTTAGTCATTTAAGCTTTTCATGCCCGAAACGCTTTGCGTAATAGTGGCTTTAGGCATTGTATGTACTAGCCCTATCTATAAATCCATCACTCTTTGTAAAATCTCTTGTATGTATGTACCTTACCTAAATAAACATTTGATTTGATTTGATTTGATTATCCACCTACCGGGCCGGCTCAACGTGATAGCCGACGCTCTGTCCCGGTTGCCTGAGTAACATTCATCTGGGCCACAGGAAGCCATATACCAACTGTCATGCTTTAGTTATATATATAATTTTTTTAGGTTCTCCTGTGACATTAAATATTCCGTGTCCAATTTATTTACTTCCCTGTTTTTTTTTTGTGTATGTGTTTTTCTTTCTGAGAATTCCTTTGTACTTTTCTTGCAGAGAAATTGTTGTTTTTGATTGATTTTCTTTTATGTCATAGATTTTCCTTTTTATTCTCTGTATACTCTAACAAAAAAATATGACTACTATTCTAGTAGCCACATTTTTTTTCTCTGAAGGGGGGAGGAGTGTTATGACCCTGGGTTCCTCAGGTGGAAACCAGAGGGCCAGGAAACCAAAGTTGGAAACCATTGAGCTAAATAAACTACTTTTTATTATGTGATGCGATACTTGACTTGTGTCTGTTTGTATCTTCCCTGCCAGACGTAAGACGATTCTTGTTTCTCACAGAGCAGTTAAAGACTGAGCTGGTGGTTGATTATTAATTAATAAAATAGGCATCAACTATGTTTACAAATGATTAGAAAGTATTAGTAAAGTAGATCTGAGTAAACTTGGATATAGGGCCGCTGTACGATTAGCTGAGTAGTTGGCCGGCAGCGAGTCAGCTGGTGGGAGCTGAAGCTCACGGCTAGCTTCCTTCTCTGGGCTGGCATCGTGGTGTTAAGGTCTCTGCATCCCTCTCCCCTTCCTCCTGCTACTCTCCCTTACCTATTTCTGTGTCTAGTTTACCAAGATAAATACTGTATTGTGTCCTCATTTTCTGGCATAATTCGCATGTTCAAGTGTGTAGAGCATTACTGTGGATTAATTAGGTGATCACTAGTGTTTATATTGGGAAGTTACTCTAAGGGGGTCCCAGTGGAACCACGTGGGCTCCAGTAGTACCAGTAAGCTACCTAGAGTCCTTGCTAGTGTCCCTTGCCTAGTAGACTTTACCCTAGCTTGTGCTCATTGTAAAACCTTGTATCCTGCTTATGTGGACCAAGGCTTTTAACGTAAGATAGTGTGGTAAAGTAATTATTGTTATTGGTGTGAATGTATATGGGGGTTGATAAGGGGTTAATAAATAAGTAAGTTAGTTTTAAAGGAGTATCCATTCTTCCTGTGTAGGAGATTTATGATTTACCTCTAGGCTGACATTTTCAGTGAGCCACTATAATTATTACTCTTATATTTTTATTGGGGGCCGGGCCTTTAAGATCTCCATTACTTTTGATACATCTTGATGCTAACTGCTGACTCTATTCCATAATACTAGCCCCACATAGCAGACTATTAAATCTTTAACAGCACCTCCCCAAGCCTTCGCTCGATGTGTTCACGAACGGGTCATCTCTTGGCTGGGGCTTTGTGACCAGTGCTCACCAGGTCGGTCGGGGATGGTGTGGTCTGTCCGTCCGTCAGCCTCACAGTACGGTTCGGGAGTTTGTGACTGTCTGGTCTGCGCTTCGGAGGGTTTGGGTCACTCGGTGCTCTACCATTCAGCTCCATTCGGACTGTTCTCTGGCGGTTCTTTGCCGGACCCACAGGGTTTCTCTTAGTTGTTTGCTTTTTGGGTTGCTCCCTTCGAGTGGCTCGTTTGCTGGATTCTCAGGGTTTGGCTAACTGTGAGGTTCATGTCCTGGGTGTGTTCTATGTCCTGGCGGATAGCCTGTCTCGCTTCATTCCTCTGTTAACGAGTTGGCCAGTTGTCGCTGACTCGTTTCGTTGGCTCTGCCGGACGTATGGACTCCTGGCAATGGACGTCTTCGAGTCGGTGTGGTCTAGGCGTCGCCCATTCTATGTGGCGCCCTTACCCGCCTGCGAGGTGTTCACGATGGATGCCTTTCGGCACGACTGGTCAAGGTGGGGTTACCTGTTTCTCTTCTCCCGGTCCAGCTGTTGCTTTGGGTTCTGGCTCAGTTGGAGCCCATTCCCAAGAGAGCAGTCCTCATGGTCCCTTGGTGGCCGGCCGACCCAGCTTTATTTTCAGACGATACTTGATAGGTGTCCGAACCCTGGGCGTTTTCCGGCGGCTCCACCTCTTTCGGCAGGTTGGACCAGTCCTGTACGTGACTGGTTCGGCTTACTCCTCAGCTCTTCGTGTCTGATTTTTTGACGCGGGTATCACCATTTCTGTGGTGATCAGGTTGTTTTGCTGATGGTGCTTCCATCACCTGCGAGCTTCGTCTCTGCAACAGTATGATGTTCCTGGTGTTTCTATGCACCTTTTCCTTGCTCTTTGTAGGTCGTCTTCTCTTTCGCATCGGGTTGTCTTTTCCTTTCTTGGGTTTTCAGGACTACAATTATTTGATGTTTCTTACTGTCGCCTCGTTTTGTGCGGCGCTGGCGGAGCCGCTCCGGCTTGCATGTGGGGTGGACGTCACATCTGCCCCGTTCCGTAAGCTTTCTCGTGTTTTGCTTCACCTCCGGCCTGCTCATGCATCGTCTGAGCCGTCCTGGTCCTTGATCAAGGTGCCCTCTTATCTTCTCCTGAGTTTGTGGTAGCCCCTTTGGTTCAGGTTTCTGCTCTTTGGCACTGGTGGTAGGTTTGTACATTACAGCCTTTCTCCGTCCTTCTGGCGACGGTCGAGATGGCTGCTTACCGGGGAGGGTCCTTGGGTTATTGATGCTTGATTGGTTTGGCCGGGGGTGCGTCCTGTGTTGTCCGGTTGCGCTTTTTGTCATTACCTGCGTACTGTGTCTAGGGATGCGCTTTGGGTTGATCCGGTTCCCTGTTTTAAGGATCGGGTCTCCCAGGTCGTCTGCAGAGTTTTTAGGTCTTCCAGCCTGCGGTCTATCCTGGAAATAGACCGCAGTCTAGAAATATCTGCGGTCTAGAGCAAATTTAAAGCTCAGTGTAGGAAACTAAATAGGCGAAGTTAGGTACTTTTTGGTTTTGCTTTTAAATAAGGCAAAAGTTTTACAGTTTTTCAATTCACTAGGGAGCGAGTTCCATAGACTAGGTCCCTTAATTTGCATAGAGTGTTTACACAGATTAAGTTTGACCCTGGGGATATCAAAGAGATATTTATTTCTGGTGTGGTGATAATGGGTCCTATTACATCTGTCCAGGGAGAGTTTCAGAGCATGGTTTGCATTTAAGAACAGGGTTTTGTAAATGTAGTTGACACAAGAGAATGTGTGGAGGGAGTTAATATTTAGCAAGTTTAGGGATTTAAACAAGGGAGCTGAGTGTTGTCTGAAAGCAGAGTTAGTTATTATTCTGATAGCAGATTTTTGCTGTGTGATGATGGGCTTAAGGTGGTTTGCAGTGGTAGACCCCCATGCACAGATACCATAATTAAGATAGGGGTAGATTAGTGCATAATATAGTGAGAGGAGAGCAGAGTTAGGAACATAATATCTGATTTTGGAGAGTATACCAACTGTCTTAGAGACTTTCTTAGTTATGTGTTGAATGTGGGTGCTGAAGTTGAGTCTCTTGTCTAGGAATAGGCCAAGAAACTTGCCATCATTTTTATTACTGATGTTAATGTTGCCTATCTGTAGCTGAATTGCATTTGATGATTTTCTTCCAAATAAGATGTAGTAAGTCTTTTCGATGTTTAATGTTAGTTTGTTCGTTGACATCCATAAGTGGACTTTTTTTAATTCATTATTCACAACATTATTTAGTGTATGTGGGTTGAGGTTTGAGTAGATAAGGGTAGTATCGTCAGCAAACAAAATAGGTTTGAGAATATTAGAGACATTAGGCAGATCGTTTATATATATAAGAAATAGAAGAGGTCCTAAGATGCTGCCCTGTGGCACTCCAACGGTAATTGGTAGAGTGGAAGAAGTTGTATCATTGATGGTCATTGCAATCAATCTTATATTGTTTCTGCTGTATTGTGCCTACCAATTTTTGTCAACTACCATTCAAGCTGTCATTGCAATCAATCATAGCTACCTATGTGCTTTAATATACTGTACCTACAATTTTCTCTCATCTCCTTTTTTTCATTCCATGTAACTGTTATAATTTTTTTGTCTATAAATTTTGCAAGTATTTACCTCCTTAAAATTTTCATAGATTAAGGACCTGCTCGAAACGCTGCGCGTACTAGTGGCTTTACAAGACTGTAATTACCATATTTTGTATCCTCACATTCCCCATGTACATTCTTGTATATGCATAAATAAATAAATAAATAAATAGTGGCTTTAGGCATTGTATGTACTAGCTTTATCTATAAATCCATCAATGTTTTGTATCTCACCTTCAATGTATGTACTTTACCTGAATAAATATTTGATTTGATTTATTAATTAGTAATTAGCAGTAATAGTTATTCTCTTCAGTGGCAGTTATAAATATATGAATAATAAATACCATCTGGCTGGTCATATGAAAGTTAAACCAGTTGAGAATTAATTTTGGTCAATACAAGTGCCCAAATATTTAAGTTTAATTTAAGAAATTTAACACTGAATGGACTCATTCGAAATTAATTAAATCTTACAACAATAAATAAAACCGATTTGGAGTTGTGTGAAGCAAAATAACAAACAAACCTTTTACACCGTCCACTGAAGGTAAGATAAAGTAAAGAAACAATAATTTTATGCACATAACCCCACACATCGCAGCTGTGTGGGGTTATGTATCCCTCATAACTTTAAATCATCATTAGATACAGCTTCACAACAAGGTTAATGAAAACTACATAAAGAACTTTGCAAAATGTTTACTAAAGGTTACAAAAAATTATTGTGCATATCTTTTGTTAATTTGTCAACTATCCATAATACAGCAATCAGATACATATACTGTATAATATTTATTTATCTCTGCCAATTTGTACTAAACTACTGTACATGCAAAATGTAATAAATTTTAGAAAATATTTTAACATGAAATAAATAGGATTGTCAAACTTTTGCAGGTATGACTTCTCATAATTCTGGATTCAAAATACACATAACTAATATCATGTAATACACATTCTGTTCATTAACTGGCATTATTTAAAATAATTATCAATATGCATATTTTATCATTCTAAGTATTGCTTGTTTAAATTATTCCTTGCCAATATTAAGATAAAATAAACTTCGAATATTAATAAATTGACCATTTAAATTAAACTTGTGTATGTAAAGCTAAATGGTGGGGCATGATCCAGCATTGACATTACCAACAAAGGTGGTATATGCTAGAGCAACTGGTTCTTTATTGACAGTTACATTTCTCATACAGCCAACATACTTCTCACTAGTGGCTCCTCCACGTCGTTTCTGCACAAGAGGCTGTGAACCCAGGAAAAGAGGGTTCTTTGTGTCAGTTGAAGTAGCCCCGATCTTGCCTGACACAGGATTGGTAGATGTTCCGTCAACTACAAGAATTGCAATGTTCTTATTCTTGATAACTGAAAATGAATTAATACAGTATTATAATAAGATGCAAGCATATTAGGATGTAAAGATTGAACATAAGCTTTGAGATAATGAGCAAACCTAAACTAAAGCAATTAGTTTGAAAATTTGAAATTGCATTTAAGATAGCAGTAGGCATCCTTCAGTCTCGGGAGACTATGGAGTTGCGCTCTGGTTGCTCTCCAGGGCGCAAAGCCATGGGTAGGTCGATATGAAAAAGAAGCTTTTACCCATGCATCAGGTCCCCCCTCTCCACGTTGCTGAAATTATCCAATGCAAAGGCAAATGATAATACACATGGTTTCAGCACCATCACAGAAGATGCCAGAATGAGGTCGAAGTCGACAACGAACTGCCTTAGGGGCTCTAACTCCGAATTTATCCTCGAGGTTGACTCCTGAAGCCTTTCCCAAAAGAGGGGGTATGGCCGCAAAGCAGCAGAGGTTTAGAATCAGGGGTTTTCCTTTCCCTAGATGAGTTGCCCACCCAAGCTAATGAGTCTCATCTACCCAGCGCATTTAAGATAATTATGATTATAAAGAGGTGGTGCTGTTTCTTTTTTATTTTATAATTTATAATAATTTCTTACTGACACCCCTTCCCCCCCATACTCTGCTTCACCTCAATTCAACACCCATCCCTCCCTCCATCCATCCATCCATCCAACCATCCATCCATCCCTCCATCCATCCATCCATCCATCCATCCATCCCTCCCTCCATCCATCTATCTCTCCATCCATCCATCCCCTCCTTCCTTCCCCTCCTTCCCTCCATCCATTCATTCCTCCCTCCATTTATCCATTCCTCCCTCTTTCCATCCATCCCTCCCTCCATCCATCCATCCATCCATCCATTCATCCCTCCCCCTCCCATCCATCCATCCATCCATCCATCCATCCATCCATCCATCCATCCATCCATTCATCCCTCCATCTATCCATCCCTCCCTCCCCTCCTTCCATCCATCCATCCATCCATCCATCCATCCATCCCTCCCTCCCTCCCTCCCTCCCTCCCTCCCTCCCTCCCTCCCTTCCTCCTTCCTTCCATCCCTCCCTCCCTCCCTCCCTCCCTCCCTCCCTCCTTCCATCCCTCCATCCATCCTTCCCCTCCCTCAATCCATCCTTCCATCCACCTCCATCCTCTCCCTCCCCGTCTACCTCCCAGCCTCTACCTGTCTGCCTCCCTCCCTGCTTCCCTGCCTCCCTCCCAAGCTCTGCCTGCCTGCCTCCCTCCCTGCTTCCCTGCCTCCCTCCCAAGCTCTGCCTGCCTGCCTCCCTCCCTGCCTCCCAAGCTCTGCCTGCCTGCCTTCCTCCCTCTCTCCCTGCCTACCTCTTAGCATCTTCCTGCCTGCCTCCCTCTCTCCCTCCCTCTTAGCATCTTCCTGCCTGCCTGCCTACATTTCAGCCTCTCCATCCCTGCCTGCCTCCCTCTCTCCCTCCCTCTTAGCATCTTCCTGCCTGCCTGCCTACATTTCAGCCTCTCCATCCCTGCCTGCCTGCCCATCTACCCACCAGTCAGCCATCACTGACACAATGAGTGCATTTGGAGCCAACATGATGCATGGATGTTCCTCGATTGCGCAGATATGTCCAACATAGTTATGGAATGAACACTCCAGCCTCTTGACAAATCAAAACAATCTGCCGTGAATATGTGACGTCACAGGGTAGAAGACACTAGAGTGGTACGACACTTAACTTCGGAAATACCGGAGCTCCAGAAATAACGACCAGGGTACAGCCCCATATAGGCTGTTAAATCAAGTGGATACTGTGTGTGTGTGTGTGTGTGTGTGTAATTACCTAAGTGTAATTACCTAAGTGTAGTTACAGGATGAGAGCTACGCTCGTGGTGTCCCGTCTTCCCAGCACTCTTTGTCATATAACGCTTTGAAACTACTGACGGTCTTGGCCTCCACCACCTTCTCACTTAACTTGTTCCAACCGTCTACCACTCTATTTGCGAAGGTGAATTTTCTTATATTTCTTCGGCATCTGTGTTTAGCTAGTTTAAATCTATGACCTCTTGTTCTTGAAGTTCCAGGTCTCAGGAAGTCTTCCCTGTCGATTTTATCAATTCCTGTTACTATTTTGTACGTAGTGATCATATCACCTCTTTTTCTTCTGTCTTCTAGTTTTGGCATGTTTAATGCTTCTAACCTCTCCTCGTAGCTCTTGCCCTTCAGTTCTGGGAGCCACTTAGTAGCATGTCTTTGCACCTTTTCCAGTTTGTTGATGTGCTTCTTAAGATATGGGCACCACACAACAGCTGCATATTCTAGCTTTGGCCTAACAAAAGTCATGAACAATTTCTTTAGTATATCGCCATCCATGTATTTAAATGCAATTCTGAAGTTAGAAAGCATTGCATAGGCTCCTTGCACAATATTCTTTATGTGGTCCTCAGGTGATAGTTTTCTATCTAGAACCACTCCTAGATCTCTTTCTTTATCAGAATTCTTTAAAGATTTCTCACATAATATATAGGTTGTGTGGGGTCTATGTTCTCCTATTCCACATTCCATAACATGACATTTATTAACATTAAATTCCATTTGCCAAGTGGTGCTCCATATACTTATTTTGTCCAGGTCTTCTTGAAGGGCATGACAGTCATCTAAATTTCTTATCCTTCCTATTATCTTAGCATCATCAGCAAACATGTTCATATAATTCTGTATACCAACTGGTAGATCATTTATGTACACAATAAACATCACTGGTGCAAGAACTGAACCCTGTGGTACTCCACTTGTGACATTTCTCCATTCCGATACAATGCCTCTGATTCCTGCCCTCATTTTTCTATCAGTCAGAAAATTTTTCAACCATGATAGAAGCTTACCTGTCACCCCTCCAATTGTGTGTGTGTGTGTATGTGTGTGTGTGTATATATATATATGTCGTACCTAGTAGCCAGAACGCACTTTTCAGCCTATTATGCAAGGCCCGATTTGCCTAATAAGCCAAGTTTTCCTGAATTAATATATTTTCTCTATTTTTTTTCACCCCATTTCATTATGTATGAGGTCAATTTGTTTTTATTGGAGTTAAAATTAACGTTGATATATGACCGAACCTAACCAACCCTACCTAACCTAACCTATCTTTATAGGTTAGGTTAGGTTAGGTAGCCGAAAACGTTAGGTTAGGTTAGGTAGGTTAGGTAGTCGAAAAACAATTAATTCATGAAAACTTGGCTTATTATTAAATCGGGCCTTGCATTGTAGGCTGAGAAGTGCGTTCTGGCTACTAGGTACGACATATATATATATTATATATACTATCATATATATATATATTGTATATATATATATATATATATACAGTGGTACCTCGGAATGCGATTGTCCCTGTATGCGAGGTTTTCGGAAGGCGAGGTGTATTTACTCCAAAAATTTGTCTCAGAAGGCGAGGGTTACTTCGGGAGGCGAGTTTGGACGCGAGTTTGTTGATACGCGTACAGCCGACCTAGCGTGTTCGTCGCCCCTCCGCCCCGCCGCCCCTCAGTTTATTATTGTCTGGCGCTCAGTGACTACCCCCACATCAATTCTTCTCGCGGATTTTCAGTGTTTTGTTGGATTTTTGGTGATTTGTCTATACAATTTGTTATTATATATCTCACCATGGGTCCCAAGAAAGCCAGTGGTAAGGATAAAGGCCAGAAAGCTCCTGTGAGGATGACAATAGAGGAGAAACAAGAGATCATTCGGAAGCATGAGAACGGTACACGTGTTGTTGAACTTTGTAGGCAGTACAACAAAGCCACATCAACAATATGCACTATACTTAAGAAGAAAAATAAGATTATGGGTGCTAAAGTGGCAAAAGGAGTAAGAACATTAACGGCACAAAGACCACAAATACTTGAAGAAGTGGAAAAGTTGTTATTAATTTGGATACACGACAAGGAGTTGAGGGGTGATAGTGTTTCAGAGGCCATTATTTGTGAGAAAGCCAGGGTGTTGCACGAAGACCTTCTAAAGAATACCCCTGCAACGAGTGATGCAGATAAGAAAGAGTTTAAGGCAAGCAGGGGCTGGTTTGAAAAATTTAGAAAGAGAAGTGGTATCCATAGTGTTACAAGGCATGGGGTTATGTGATGTGATTATGGAAGGGGACTCCCCTTCCAAACAGTAACTCCTCTCCTCCTCCCCCCTCCTCACCATCTTCCATACGCCTACAGCACTCGACAGCAAGGTAAGTAATAACTGGAACACAGTTTTGTAGGTTTATTTAGATGAATTAGGTAAATTAGGTATAAAAATTTAGTTTGATGTGGGGTTTTTGGGGTAGTCAGGAACGGATTAATTCATTTCCCTTTATTTCTTATGGGGAAATTAACTTCGGAATGCGAGTTTTCGGAAGGCGAGGCGTCTCCAGGAACGGATTAAACTCTTATTCTGAGGTATGCCTGTATATATATATATATATATATATATATATATATATATATATATATATATATATATATACACATATATATATATATACACATATATATATACACATATATATATACACATACACATACAGGGGTACCTCGGTTTAAGAGTTTAATCCGTTCCTGGAGACAGGTCGTATTCCGAAGCTAATTTCCCCATAAGAAATAATGGGAAATGAATTAATCCGTTCCTGACTACCCCAAAAACCCCACATCAAACTAAATGTTTATACCTAATTCATCTAAATATACCTACAAAACTATGTTCAAGTTATTACTTACCTTGCTGTTGAAGGCTGTAGGCATATGGAAGATGGTGAGGAGGGGGGAGGAGGAGAGGAGTTACTGTTTGGAAGGGGAGTCCCCTTCCATTATCACATCAGGCAGTGAGGACTTCACTGGTATGCACACACTGGCACATTTTGCCTGCATACCACTAGAACTTGCTTGTCTTACTAAGAATTTGTCTAAAGACACTTGTTTTTTCCTACATTTTAACACCTGTCTGTAGTAAGACATCACATTATCATTTAAAAGGTCAATGC